GCGTAAAAATACACGAGCCGTAGGCGAGTGTATTTTTACGCTTTCCGAAAGTCGAGCAACATCCAGAGTGCATGGATCATGCTATCCTGCACGGGAAAACCATTTGGTAATTGTTTTATAAAATTACTACAGTGAAACGACGGTTAACTTGATTAAAATTACTGATGAAATGTGCAGTTCTCACAACAATCGTGAATTAACGAATCGGAGAATCGCTACTCCACGCTATTGAAAACAACAACAAATGTGAACAGAATTTGATCGCAAATTATATTCGCAAAAATATACAGCGAAAATACAGGAACTTTTTCGATAAAATATACGAAATTTGAAATGGAAAACCCGCTAATCAGAGAGCCAAAGTAGTTTTGAAGATTCTCGACCTGAATACGTGAAGATTGCGAACCGTTTGATCAACTTTGAAGCGAGAGATGTTGTACTTGCATGCCATGGTCTGATGAATTTCAACGCTACGCGTTGTATCGATCAGAAATTTATTCATACAACTAAACCAACGTCTCAATAATTGCAAACTTACTTCAAAGTCGAAAGGTATCGTGCAATGAAACTTTACAATGCACTCATATTTTTAACATTATGTGCAAGAATTTCTGTTCAGAATTTCCCGTGCAGGATTGTCCGATACTGCACGGCTGTTGACCAATCAAATTGCGTGTTTCACTGTAGTTATTATATAATGGGCTTTGCATGCACAGTGGCTTGACACCGAGTGGGTTTTTTCTTGAGAAGTAAAATTGGCCAACAGCTATGTACAAAATAGATCACAGTTCAAGTTAACAGTGTGCTATAAGCAATGTGTACAGTTAGTAAAATTTATTTCATTTAGTAAAAATGATAACAGTATTTTCCTTTGCAAAGCAACGTCAGCGCTAACTATTTTTAGAAAGTATATAGATGGTTAAATCTTCTCGGGACCAGCATTTTTTATTAATGAAGTTTCCTCGAACCTCGATTCGACCTTTGTTTTAGGCAGAGTAGAATAACAAAGTAGGGTGAATGTCAATGTCGTTCAAAGGGTAAACAGGACACAATTGGGCAGATAGCTGGCATTTTTCTATTGACAATTAAAATTGTCATCGAGTAAAATAATAACAAAGTATGGTATATGGATGCAATCCTATGCAAAATAGTCACTCCAACATGCCATTAAATTAACCGATTAAGTTTAAAACACCCTTTCGGAAATACGTCACTTTGGCTATAGAGCCTCGTTTTCATGTATCTGACATCAGTTAAAGGCCACGTCTTAATCACGAAAACGAGGCTCTATAGCCAAGGTGACGTATTTCCGAAAGCGGGTATTGCAGCTTAATGCACCCTACTTTATTATTTTACTCTGTCTAACACCAGACAATTGGCACTCAATGGGTTAAATCTGACCATGTGTCTAGTTAACCCATCAAGTTGAATTGCACCGAGCAAATTTATTATAATTATACTTTGGCTAATGCCAGACCATTTTACTCATCATCAAGGCACTCCCACAGACCAACAATATTGTTTACATTGTATTTGAAATTGCCACGTAACCCATTGAGTGGCAACACTCTCCCCTTGACAAGTAAAATCGCCTGGTGTTATACAGATTAAAGTTATATAGTAGGGTGCAACAGGGCACATTGCTGCTTAAAGGGTTAACAAAAATGTACACAAAGCCTGAAAATAAGAGGCCGAACACAGACACTGTCCGAGACATAAAGAGCAAATGTCCGGCTAAATGCTTTTCTCACTGAACAGTATGTATGCTACACTGATTTGAGTGAAAACAGTGAAAATGGCCTGTCACAACACAATTTGCACCAGTCTCTTCTTTGCACTAGCTGCCAGGTCACATTTAAGTATATGTTTGCATTTTCAACATCAATTAATACTATAATATTCCAATATTTGTGCAGGCCTTAAAATATCTTTTACAGGGCCGTCTGACAAAGTGTCCGATGACTTTGAGTTTGGGTCGGACATATGTATGATGATGTCCGATGAGCTTCAGTTCAGTTTGGCTCGAAAATAAATCTGAATGACACAAACGAATATCAGCACAGTGTATTAATTCTGAACGGTAAACGTTGCGAAGATATTAAATATCTAAATTAACTTGCATCCCAATAACAACAATAAGATGTCGACACTCAAGTTCGTTTTCCACTTCACCATTTCGCTCGCCGCCAGCAACACTTTGATTGACAAAACAACAGTTTGGTCGGACACCAATACACTCGGGTCGGACAAACAATAAACCTCAGTTTCACTTAGGTCGGACAGAATGTCCGGTGGTTTCCTCTGTACGTCGGACAATTTCACAAATGGGTCGGACAATGTCCGTGACCGACCGATATTTTAAGGCCTGTTTGTGATCTCAGCCACTATGTGAGAATTGTCAGGCACAACCCAATTGGTGCACAACAGGCATCCATGAAAATTATATTCAGGCTTGATACACACAAGCATCAGTCAGACAACTTAAATACTTTCGGAAATGGCATTTGAATATTCATGGAGATGTACTGGCCTTTGTAAGAAAAGGGATTAGGTTTTGTTTGTATAAGCTGCCCAAAGGGCTGGACATTTATTTCATAGGTTAGGGGGCAGATCGTCAACGAGGTACGGACTAATAGCGGCTGGTAAAAGCGCCATTTGTATGCTCACAGTCTACCTCAGTCTGCTACATGTCAGTTCCGGTTCTGTCTATCTACATTATTTGTATCTATTCACAATGTAACCAGTCACTGAAAAACCCTGATAGGGAGTGTGCTCTGCAATATCTGTATATCCCCTTGAGAAGTGAAATAACAAGTACTGTACGACATGTTAGTGTATGATGCAACCAGTGTACAGATGCACCCTACTTTGTTATTTTACTCTGTCTAATGCCAAACAATTTTACTTGTCAGGGGACAGTGCTGCCACTCAACATTTGGGTTAATCAGACAATCTGCCCATGTACCTTGTTAATTCATTTAGCTTGTTAAGGAGGCTCCCTACAGTTTCCAATATATGTCAGTGTTTTAAACTAAAATCTATTTGATTAATTTGAATCTAAAAAACTATTTTTTTGCACAAGCCATTGTTTCCTCTTATGTAAAAGAGTAATTTTAATCCACAATCGCTACTCTTCACGTTACCATGACAACATGACGTCACCATCTATATGGCCTTTTTCAACCAAAAAAGCCGTCTTAGCGGACAAATAAGAACGATGACCTCCCTTAATTTTTTATTGCAGAAAATACATTATAAGGGGTTATGAAGTTTTTAATCCTGTTTGAAAGTTATTTGAAAATGTATTTTCTGCAATAAAAAAGGTAGGTCACCATGCTTATTTGTCCGCTAAGGCGGTTTTTTTGGTTAATATAGGCCATATAGATGGTGACGTCATGTTGTCATGGTAATGTGAAGAGTAGCGATTGTGGGTTAAAATTACTCTTTTATATAAGAGGAAACAATGGCTTGTGCAAAAAATTAGGTTTTTTTAGATTCAAATTAATTAAATAGGTTTTAGTGTAAAACACTGACATACATTGGAAACTGTAGGGAGCCTCCTTAAGTGGCAATGCGCCCAGATGCGCCCTACTTTGTTATTTCACTCTGTTTAATGTCAGACTATTTCACTCGCAAGGGGAGTGCTGCCACTCATTTGGTTAGTATATGAAAGCCTAGAGAATAACAAGTCTTTGCTCTGTAAATATGGAAGCTGGGCTGTTAAGTTAACAGGATAGCCCTGAGGTAAGCAAGATCATGTCATGTACTTATTATACAATAGGAATTACTTTGTGTTCACAAAACAGGGTCTAAAATTTGCAGTACAGGTATCCCGATATCTGCAGGATACCAAAACTGATACTAAGAAAATTTAAAACATTACAGTACTTAAGAAAAAGTTGAACACCTTTGATTACCTGATAGCTCTTGAATACAAGGGGATACTGGACTCACAGTGGGGATACTAAACTTTTAATTTCATACCCTGTACAATAATATGCCATACTGGTTATTGTACTTGTCAAGGAGAGTGGGTCAGTCACCAACATATCCGTAAAACATTTTGAACATTGAACACTTTATGGAAATTAGCCCCCCTAAATAAGTATAAGTAATCATGCGATGCCGAGTATAATTAGGTATTAATTTAATAGTACTAGTGATGTTTGGAAATTTCGCCAAAATTGGGGTTATTAAGCCGTGTAGCAAAGCACAGAACACGTCACAAGTAATATACAAAATTATTCTGGTTATAAATAATATATGGTAATTATACAAACTATGTCTTACGTCATCTATAACGACTCTGAATGCCATACGCCAAAATGATGTACGTTTTTGGCTTTTTATCCATCTGCCAGAGCGCCAGTTTGCCAGAGAGCCGGCAGTTTTGCCAGAGCGCCAGTTTGCCAGAGCGCCAGTTTTGCCAGAGAGCCAGTTTTGCCAGAGCGCCAGTTTTGCCAGAGTGCCAGTTTCGCCAGAGTGCCAGTTTCGCCAGAGCGCCAGTTTGCCAGAGTGCCAGTTTTGCCAGAGTGCCAGTTTCGCCAGAGTGCCAGTTTCGCCAGTTTGCCAGAGCGCCAGTTTTGCCAGAGCGCCAGTTTTGCCAGAGCGCAAGTTTTGCCAGAGCGCCAGTTTCGCCAGAGCGCCAGTTTACTAAAGTGCTAGTCGGTTTTGCCAGAGCGCCAGTTTGCCAGAGCGCCAGTTTTGCCAGAGCTCCATGCAGTTTTGCCAGAGCGCAAGTTTTGCCAGGGCGCCAGTTTTGCCAGAGCGCCAGTTTCGCCAGTTTACTAAAGTGCTAGTCAGTTTTGCCAGAGCGCCAGTTTGCCAGAGCGCCAGTTTGCCAGAGCGCCAGTTTTGCCAGAGCGCCAGTTTCGCCAGAGCGCCAGTTTACTAAAGTGCTAGTCAGTTTTGCCAGAGCGCCAGTTTGCCAGTTTTGCCAGAGCGCCAGTTTTGCCAGAGCGCCAGTTTTGCCAGAGCGCCAGTTTTGCCAGTGGCAAGTAAAGGAATTCGCTGCTTTTCTTTCAAACCATATCGTATACTGAACTTAACTAAACGTACTGCTTTGTTTCAGAGAATTAAAACAGAAATTACTTTGACGCAAAAGAAAATGCTGAAATATATTGCGATTTACGATTAAGTTAAAATTGCAATTCTACTACTAGACTATACATGCTCTTGCGTTCAATCTGGTTTGTTATGCGACCTTTGTCAGTTTGTCTTGCATATGAAAGATTTATTACTGTATATATGATCACACAATCTTACATAACAAGTTATTGTCTTTGTCTATTGCTCATATTTGTTGAGGAAATATTGTTATAATACTTTGATATTTCTAAACCAGAGAGTCGAAATTCAAAATACCTGCCCTGAAGCAGAACTGCGATAACAACGAGCCGGTAATGTGGCACTTGAAGTGTCACGCATTTAATCAAACATTATCAGTAACATAACAATAATGAAATATTTTGAATAGTTCAACTTCACGAAAATAAAGCTATTAAGCATGTTAAATTAATATTTTAATGTGCTATATAGTATTATGCGCGTAACGACTATAACCGCGAATGTTTCGCGTTTGTATTCACTCTTAATTAAATCCTTAATGTGGATGGACGGACCCGCACTTTAATTTACCGTGTCACTCAATAAGGTTATTAATGAAAGCTGACATTTATATACTTCCACATACATCTTGCCTTTGACCTTTGTAGTGTTTTAAAACATAAATCATATCACGGTCATATGCATTTATACATCCACTGGTAAAACTATATGCAACGTTCAAAATAATGTGACATGTAAAGATTTGTACGACCGCGTTTGTGTATCATTTCAGTGGGTTATTAAAAACAAGAGTTGTTGCTGAAATTGGTAGCATACTGTTAAACTTAGCCAGCGCGCAGTCTCATGATATCGACATCGTTTTGAAGTCATAAGACTGCGCGCATGCAGGCTAGCATGAACTGCGTAAATTAATTTTTGGCGGGAAATTGTGCGCGCCAGTTGTTGACACACCATGCTCATGAATATTCTGCCTTTCTTAATATTTATAGTCGTTTCGCAAGGAAGCCATGATGCTATAAAAATGCAACACTTCTAATTTGAAATATATTTACATACATAACATAACTTATATACAAAATAATTAACTCTACATATCTAATATTATCCTGTCTTTTGATCACCAAATGTTCTAATTGACATTTAGCTACTGATTTAGTGTCGCATTAAAGCAA